TGCAAGAGAAGATCAAAATCTACGCACACAAGATCTACCTCTCCACCTCCTCCTCCAAATTTTACGACCTGTTCCTCATGGACCTGAGCGAGGAGGACCAGCAGAGCACCGCGGGGCACGGCTTCGGGGTGGCCGGCGTGTGGGGTGCGCCGCCCCGGCGGCCGCGGGGCGGATGCTGCACCAAGAGGAGAGGCACCACGGGCGGGATTTCCTCCTCCGAGCCGCTAGCTTTGATATCTGCGAGAGCACCGAGGAGGCCGGATCCGGCCAGCGAAAACCGTGCCTTAGAGCCTCCACCAGTGATGGGATCCTGCGGGGCAACCGCTATGAGAACGGGGAGCGTGGGCTGCGGCGGGGAAGGGACCTCTCCTCTTGGAGCCGGGCTTTCACCAGCATCCAGGAGGAGATGGCAGAAGACCCTCTGACCTACAAGTCCAAGCTCATGGTGGTGGTGAAGATGGATGCTTCCATCCAGCCGGGTCCTTTCCGGGCCGTGCTGAAGTACCTGTACACAGGGGAGCTGGATGAGAATGAGCGGGACCTCATGCACATTGCTCACATCGCTGAGCTGCTGGAGGTGTTCGACCTCCGGATGATGGTGGCCAACATCCTCAACAACGAGGCTTTCATGAACCAGGAGATCACCAAAGCCTTCCACGTCCGGAGGACCAACCGGGTGAAGGAATGCCTGGCCAAGGGGACTTTCTCGGGTACGACTCCAGGCCGAGGGGGAGCACCATCCACAGCACCCCCTCTCCCTTGGCGGGGGGCTCTGCCAGATGGATGGGGGACTCAGAGCTCCTGGCTTTGCCCCGTGCCGATGTGTGAGTGGGGGCGGCTGTGCTGCGAGTCAGCAGGCGCTCACTCGCCTTCCCCGGGGTTTTTGGTCACACTTTGCGTTTCTGGGATTTTTATAGCTTTTTTTTTTATTTTCTTCCCAGAAAGTGTGTGTCATGGCCCTTCCCCAGGGTTTCCTGCTCCCCAGCCCGCCTGACAGCTCTGTTTATTTACAAGAGAGCAGCAAAGGCAACTTCCTTCCCTCCTGGGCCCAGATTTTCACAGGGTCATCTGATTTACAAGGAGCAACGTGCCCTTGGTAGGACTTCCCTGGCCCTGGCTTTCTGCCGAGCACCACGTGCCACCGGCTTGTGCCGTGATGCTGCAGGGTGATGTCCCAGGGGGGCGGTGAATGTCCCAGCCTCCCTCCGGCTGAATTTGTTTCACGAGGATGGACCTTGATGTGGTCAAGCTGTCGCTGTCAGCGGGCAGATGCGTGCTGGCCCCTGGCGCACCTTGGGGAGAAGCCCTGGTCTGGGGTGGAGAGCAGAGTAGGAGGGGCAGGAGATCCCCAGCATCCTCCCCAGCTCTCCCAAGGACTCAAGCTTGGGCGAGACATTTGATTCCTGGGTTTTCCCCTTTGCTTTCAAAGCTGTCGTGGTATGCCTTGGTAAAATCCCTCAGAAGAGCCGGAGCCCCGCCACGGCCCTTCCCTGAGCTCCTCTGAGCCAGCGGAGGATGTTGGGAAAAAAAATAGAGATCTTTAGGGCACATTATAGGATATGCCAGACTCAATCCCCCTCCCTCTGCTGTCCTCGGTGCGAGACATTTTGTGGCAGGGGGTGGCCGAGCCCTGGGCGTTGGGGACAGTCCCAGTAGCATCCCTCTGCTTGTCCCCAGATGTCACCTTCGTGCTGGATGACGGTGCTATCAGTGCCCACAAGCCCCTGCTCATCTCCAGCTGCGACTGGATGGCCGCGATGTTCGGCGGCCCCTTCGTGGAGAGCTCTACCAACGAGGTGAGGAGGGGCCCCGGGATTTGTCCTGGGAGGGTGGGACAGCTGGGGACGGCCGCGGGGTGACAGCCGGTGTGTGTCTCGCAGGTGGCACTTCCTTACACCAGCAAGAGCTGCATGCGGGCGGTGCTGGAGTACCTCTACACCGGGCAGTTCAGCTCCAGCCCCGACCTCGATGACATGAAGCTCATCATCCTTGCCAACCGCCTCTGCCTGCCGCACCTGGTGGCTCTCACCGGTGAGTCAGGGTGGCTGCAGCGGGACAGCGTCCCGCCCATCCCCAACCTCGGTGGCAGCCCAGTGCTCCCGCTGTCACCCCGTCCTAACCGCCCTGTAACCCCCTGTGTCCCCCACAGAGCAGTACACCGTCACCGGCCTGATGGAGGCGGCGCAGATGATGGTGGACATCGATGGGGACGTGCTCGTGTTCCTGGAACTGGCTCAGGTAGGACACGGGGGGACAGGACCCGTGCCTGGGCAGGGCTGGGGATGGGGCGAGGTGCTGGGTGGTGCCATGCAGAGGGGCCTGGCAGCTCCGGGGGGGTGATGCTGTCCTGGCAGAGAGGGCAACCGGGTCTGGTCTTGGATGTCTGTGGAGGAATAGGGTGAATTCCTCCTGCTTCCCTGGTGGTCCGTGCCGTGGTGGCTCTGACGTGGGCTCCATCTCTTCCAGTTTCACTGCGCCTACCAGCTCGCCGACTGGTGCCTCCATCACATCTGCACCAACTACAACAACGTCTGCCGCAAGTTCCCCCGGGACATGAAGGCCATGTCAGGAGGTGAGTGGGGGCCAGGGTGGGATGACGGGGGTCCTGGTGGTCCTGGCACTGCCCTCACCCCCCTTCTCCCTGCAGAGAACCAGGAGTACTTCGAGAAGCACCGCTGGCCACCAGTGTGGTACCTGAAGGAGGAGGATCACTACCAGCGGGCGAAGAAGGAGCGGGAGAAGGAAGACTACCTCCACCTCAAACGGCAGCCCAAGAGGCGATGGCTCTTCTGGAACGCCTCCTCCTCCCCTTCCTCCTCTCCTTCATCGTCGGCAGCCACAGCCTCCTCTTCTTCCTCCTCCTCTTCCTCCTCGGCTGTGGTTTGAAAGCCCATCCTTGCCCTGGCTCCAGCATCCCGGGGAGGAAACGGGGAGGAGGAGGAGGAGGGGTGGGATGACCTGCCCCAGCGCCAGGCGTGGAGCGGACGCCTCCGGCTGAAGCCCTAGAGGAGACGGCGGTAGCAGGGGCCCATCCCTGCAGAGGGGCTCGGGGCTGGGCGCCAGCCCCCAGCGCTCCTGGAGCCCTGCTCTCCCCGCGCCGCGGCTGCCAGCGCGCTGCAGGACTGGCGGAGACCGAGCAGCAGGAGAAACTCATGTTTACAGGAGCACGAGGGCTGTGTTGTGGTTTTATTTGGGTTTGGTTTGTTGTTTTTTTTTTTTTAACATCAGCAGCATGAGGAAGAAGAAGAAACCCATCCCCCTTCCACTTTAATTTGTAACCAGAAGCTGCAGGATATGGTTTGTCTGTCTGATGGCATCTCGCTGCCCTGGTCAGCCGGAGCCGCTGGGGGGGTCCTGCCGCCCCCTTCGACTTGCAGCAGGGTCAGGCACGGTGCAGGGGGTCCCGGTCCCCAAATACCTCTAGGCACTGCAGCATCCCTCCTTCTACTCACAAGTGGGGTCTGTCCTAATTCGGGGAGCGGGAGGGGACAGGAGCCCTCTCCTCCCTGCCTCTTAACTTTTCATTTTTGTTTAAAAAGAAAGCTTAAAGCAAAAAAGCCAAAAACCAACCCCAAACCCACCCCCCCCAACCTGCCACACCAGAAACCAACCCCAGGCCCTTGGCTTGGGATTTTAGCCTGGAAGGTTCCATTGTAATAAATGGTATTTTAAAAGCCCAGTGTGGTCCCTGTGTGTTTGGGAGGAAGCGGCTGGACACGGGGCATCCTTGTGCCCTGCTTGGGGTGACACCAGCACCCCCCCACCAGCGCTCCCGGGATGGACAGGGACAGCAGAGAAGCGTTGCAGGATCCAGCCATCGAAAAACCTTGGGCAACGAGAGGAGGCTTTACCATCGGGCTAACTTTGCATGTCCCACCTGTGCCCTTGCAGGTGCACAAACACAGCGGGTACCGGCAGGAGAAGGCAGCATGGCCTCAGAGCTTTGCGAGACTGCCAGGCAGGGCAGGTGAGCAGGAGGGACCCAAACCTCCGCTCGCCCTCCCCAGCCGGGAAGGGGAAAGCTCCTTTGAGCCCATCCCCGGCAGAGGCTGCTGCTGGAGCGAGTGCGTAGGGATGCTCCCGGCAGGGATGCTCCTGGTGGTGTCCCCTCCCGCTCCGCATTGCTCCTCTTCCCGGCTGGCTTCGGTAGAGCACCTTGGAGTCACTCGTTTCGCATGCTCATCCTCAGCCACGGATGCAGGAGCAAGGTTGCAGCTCCAGCGAGCTTACACTCGGTGTTCTCACACTTTGCAGCACCGGCGAGCAGGTAGGACGACAAGTTTCTTTCCCTTTTGAACCTGGGCGCTCGCCGCTGCTTCCCAGTCCTGTTCACCTTTCCCAGGCCAGGACCCGAGCCCCTGTGTCCCGGCACTAAATCCTGCATGTGCCTGGCTCTGCAGGAGCTCCCTGCCCAGGTTTGCATGCTCGGGAGGCACGCGGGGGCTGCCCGGGACAGGACCTCAGGCATGAAGCCTCCTGGCAGGTCACCAAAAGCTCCTGCTTTTAGCACTTGCCCCAGACCTGCGTTATCGATAAAGCCAACTGCAGTGCGAAGGCTGGCGGGCAGCTCAAGGGGGCTTTCTGGAGCGAGCGGAGCCCCTTTCTCACCAAGCACCACATGGATTTGCAACACAGCTATTGCAACACACAGAGCCCTGGCTCGGTGCAGCCAGAGCGGGGAGTACCACGGCCCCCCCGGCAGCAGCAGTTTCGTCACGGGGGTCAGCAGCATCACTTGGCCCTGGGGTCCCAGCCCCTGCACGCCCGAGGGACTGAGACTTCAGCCTCCTACTTTTGCAGGTGACTAAAGAGCACGGGGCTCACGGCGTAGGTGTAAAGGCAGAGCCCAGGTTTGCTGTTGAGGACTTTCCCTGGCAGAAGCATCGCTGGTGGGGACCATTCCCGGCAGGATGCCGGCGTGGCGGAGCACTAACGCCATGGGCTGGGTCCTCAGTGCCACGCGGAGCAGCTGCTGAGCATCTGGTCCAGCTCCTTTGGTGCCCACTGAAACCTAGAACAGACCATCGCCAGCGTTATGGCAGAGCAAGGGCGGGGGGGGGGAAAGATGAGAAATCAGGAGGATTTTTTAAAAGTTTATTCTTCCTTCATAAAGAGATGTAAAAACTGAAAATAGCAAACTGGCTGGGCCAGAGCTCTGTATAAAAACACACAGTCATGCATAGTAAAAAAACAATACTATTTTTATATTAGCTTTTAAGTTAATATATGTACACGTTTACAATTACTAAATAAATACATAAATATAAACTTTCTGCTTGTGTTAAGTGAGGAGAGGGCAGAAGGGAGAGCAGCGGGAGGGACCGGCGCTTTGCAGCACAGGGCAGCCCTGGCTGCAGAGAGGGGCTGGCGATGCTCCTCGCACTCTCCCACCGTGCTGGGGAAGGTCCTGGTGGGCTGGGCTGTACCGGGGTGGCAGCACATGTAGCCAGCTCAAGTAACACAGTAATTTTTCCAGCCAAGTTGTCCCTGAGCTATATGTGAGAGCCAGAGCAAGGGGCAAAGTGTTCGAGGAGCAACCCATCCAGCTGGAGGATGGATGGCGGGTACCCACAGTCATGCTCGGACCTCAGTGCATTCACCTTTCCATGCTGGCTGGAGACAGACAGGGACAGCAAAGCCATCCCACGGCCAAGGGAACGGGAACTAACCGACTTGACCAAGGTCATGGAGAAGGAAGTTTCCGGCACACCAATAGTTTGCTGCCCACGTTCCCCATCCTGATCCAAGGAGGAGCTCACTCGCTCCCTGCACTGACCCTTTTTTTAGGCAACCCCAGTGATCACAGCGCAAGTAAATCATTCCCACCCTGCCCTCAAAGTCCAGTTTCAAACTGATGCCTAATAGCAAGCAGAACTACTAACAGCTAAAACGCAATTCAGTCAGCAGCTTTGAGAAAGTAACCCAAGAACCCCGTTAACGCTTGCCCACCAAGCATACATTATTAAGCTTGCTGGCCAGCTTAGAGATGTTCTACAAGCAGAAGCCATTGCATGATGCCAGGAACCCCCCAAAAAAGCATGATCCTGTTAAAAAACACAGGGATGCCCTGCAAAGGCCCTTCTCTGCACTGATCCTGAAGACATCCGTATAGTACCAGTGCTTCCAAGAGAGACAGTCCCAGAGGCAGCTTGCAATGGTTTTAGGCTCTTTGCATTGACCCAGTGAAATCAAGACACCAGCTTGGATTTCATAAGGAAGCACCGACATCGAGCCTGTAGCTTCGGCAGGGAGGACCACAAGGCTTGTACTTCGTAAGAGGTTCAACTCCACTGGGCTCAGCTGAACTGTACAATGGCTTCAGAAAAGGAGAGAGTTACAGGAGAGCTATAAGAAGGTAAAACTCAAGTTTCTAAAACAAGTGTTCTTGGAGGTATTTACGATTTTAGTTTGAAGCGGCGAGATGCAGGGCCTGCCCTGCTCCTCAGCTCACTTCATATTGGAAAGATCCCTGCTGGACCAGCTTGGAGGAGATGTCCTCTGCAATCCCTCCGAGATTGATCTGGTGCAGGGTCTCCAGCAGTGTGTTCACGGAGGCGTTCATCCCTTCTCTGTTCTGCCACGTGTTGAGCATCTGGAAGAAGGGCTCCAGCGAATACTTGTCGTTCATCTCCGCAAGGGCAATGTCGTTCTCCAGCAGATCAAGGGCTCGGCCGAATCTTTTCCAGTCCTTGCAGGGCACGTCTTGGGCGAAGATGTCAAAAGAGCGTCGCAAAACTAGAGGGGAGAAGGGAAAAGCTCAGAGAACAGGGTAGAGCACGGACAGCTGTGTCAGAAAGGATTTTGCCCTGAAAGCTCATCCCACAGGCTCACCCCCTCCCTGCCCCCCTGCACATCCCCTGGGCCCCAGCACTTACGGGTAACAGGGTCTTTTCCTTGCACTGGAACCAGATTCCTCCTGGGTTTCACATTGGGATACGACGTCCTCGGCACCACCACCTGGAAAGACAACGTCCTGTAGCATCCACCAAGCCCCGGCACAAATGCTGTCCCCCAGTCCCATTAACGGGGGGGTTGGAGACCCTCTCCCTCTCTCCAGGGGCTGCTGGGGCAGGAGATCACCACACTCCCCCAGGACACTCATCGCTTCCTAGCTTTGGGATGACAGCAGGTCACGAGCAGGGGAGAGCTGCCTCGTGGGTCCCAGCCAGGGAGAGAAGAGCTGTCTGTTTGCTCGGCATCGGCATTAAACCTGCAGAGGACTCTGGCAGCCGACTGCAACAAGCAGATTTTGCAGTCCTGAACCCAGAACAAGGGCAAGAGACCCCTTGCCATCTCCATGCAGAAACCGTGGTCCAGCCCTGGAAGCTCCCCCAAGCTGATCAGCTTGGTGAAGGCAGAGGAAAGCATGAGACCTCGGCTGAGCACGACAGAGCAAAGGGGCACGCTCATGTACCTCTGGCCCCGGAGCGCTGGGAGTCGTGGGGAGCAGCTGATCCCGGGAGAACTGCTCGTTGCGGATGTTGTCCTGTGTCCCTACGCCCCCACTCCGGTACCTCGTCACCTGCTGCATCATGTAGTCCTGCGGCAGGAGAGAAGCACAAACCAGCTGAGTCAGGTGGTCTCGGGAGGGCAGGGCTCACACCAGCCCCTCAGGGATGCCATCTACTGCGGCAGCATCCGCCCTGCCATGGTTTCAAGGGCACGGCTCGCTTGCTCGTCTTGAGCTTGCAGGGGCCCTGGTACAGCACAGTCCTCCCTTTAACCCAGGGTCCGCACCAGGGACCCTGGATGTGCCGGCACTTCTGCCGGGGAAGCGATAACGGCACTGGAGAGAGGGCTGCAAGCACCCCACATACAGCAGGGCACTACCACAGACCCTCCTCTGCTTGGCCCAGCTCTACCACATCCCTGCAGGGACAAGACTCATCCTCCTGCTCCTCCAGCCTTCCCAAGAGCTGCAGGCAAAGTGGGGAGCAGAGAGGGGACCTCACCCCAGCCCCGCAAACAGATCTGCCACCCCCCCACCATCCCAGCAACTCACCACCACGTTGTAGGGCTTCCTGCTCAGGTCTCTCCTGTCTCCTGGAAGATGAAAACAGCGCTGTGATCCCTCTTCTCCCGGGCAGGTACCTCTTCCCACCCAGCCCACACCCACGCAGAGCCCCCAGCCGGGGCAAGCGCTCCGGGGATTCCCCGCAGCCGGTGCTCACCTGGGGAACAGCAACAGTAGCCCTTCCAGAAGCAGAATACAAGCAGAGCCAGAACTACCACCGCAACTACCAGCGCTAGGATGATCACGAGCAAGTTGTCTAAAGCAGATAAAACAGGGTGTGTGGGGAGCTGCTCCTGGCCTCCTAGCAGCAGCTCACACCTCTGTCCCTCAGCCCGTCTCCCCTCCTCCAGCAGCCCCCCACTTACTAGAGGAGCTGGAGAAGGTGCCGGTGGGAGGACCACACTGGCGGTCGCTGTGCGGCGTGCAGGGAGCCAGCTCCACTTCGTTCTCGGGACACCTGGGAAAGGGGGAGACGGGGCAGGCTCAGTGGCTGGGCTCCCAGCACAGATCCCAGTGGGACCCGCCGCGTCACCCAGCTCACCGGGGCCGGCACTTCTGGCACATCTCGCAGGGGTGGTCCGGGGAGCAGAAGGTGCCGTTCCTGCAGGCGCACTGCGTGTCGCTGACGGCTCGGCAGGGACTCAGCTCCACCTGATCTGTGGGCGAGAGGAGAAATGGCTCTACCCCAGCCCCTCCGCCCGCTTCCTTCATTAACACGGCTAACGACCCAAGCTGACCCGCAAGCCTGGGCAAGACCAAGTCACTCTCTGCTGTGGAGTTTCAGCCTTACCCATTCCTGCCCCACACCTCACCATGCCCAAGAGAAAAGCCATGCTTGCATCAAAGCTTCACCAGCAGCCTACAACACTGCCGTGAGCCCAGTCCTCCTGGTCCTTGCTGGATGGAGGTCTCGTGTCCAAGCTTTGCACAAGGGATGCTGCATTGAACGGAGACGTAGGTCTGGCACAAGCCGCTTCACCAATTCCAGACCCAGCCTGCTCCCTGCACCCTGAGCCACTCTTTGGGGACGCTGCAGGTGACCGTGCTCTTAAATAGAGAGGTATTCGGTCAGCTGAACCCAGCCCACACTATCAGCCAGCATCGCCCTCTTACACACCAGCTCATACCTTCCCTACACGTCCGGCAGCCAAGGCACTTGGTAAAATCATTTGGGTATTCGATGTATTCATCTTCTTTACACGGCAAACACTTGCTGGAGCCATTTTGCTCTTTACAGTGGTCTGCAACGTAGGTGCCTGCAAGAAGGGGTGGTTGGGGAAGAAGAGGAGAAAGAAAGGGTGTATCTGTGAACATACAGCACAGGACGGAGAGGTCTTTGCAGAGAGGGAGTTGATTCCACTGCCAGTGAAGTTAAGAGGCAAATTAGGAACCATCAAAAGGAAAATGTTCCCATAATGAGTCCTTAGATCTCACGACAGCAGAGCAGGGGAGAGCTGGAGCACCCATTGCCTCCTCGCAAGGAGCAAGGACACACGGGCTCTGCAGGCAGAAACACGGCGAGGCTGCACACGGTGTGATTGATGTTTGAGGCCATCTTACCTGCGGGGCACTTCTTGCAATAGAGATGACTGTCTTGGACTTGGTAAAACTCTTCCCCTCCCCTGCTTGGGTCCAAGGGATCCAACTTGTCCCTCCTACCCAGTGCTGCAGCAGTTCCCAAACCAGCCTCCTGTTAAAAAAAATACAGAAAAACCTGGGTTAAAAACCACCCCAAGTCCACGGGGCAAGGGACGAAAGAGAAGGGCAAGAGCTGCTCTGCCCAGTGCACTCAGGTGAAGCGGGAGAGGAGCGCTGGGACGGCTCAGACCCGCTGGACCCAGCGGCCAAACCTCCCCTTGACGCAGGTGAAGGGCACTTCCCCCGTACCGGGGTGGTTATTTTCTTGGCAAAGCATAAGATTCCCGTGTGCCAGGTTATCAGCAAGGCAAAGGCTCGCTAACGCTTCCTTAGGATAACATCAGGCCCCCTTTCCTTCCCCAATTTTTGAGTGCATGAACCAACAGCACTGAAGAAAATGGAAGGGTAGGGAAGAGGAACAGGGAGGGCGTTTGTGGGGAGGAAACCGGCCCCGTGTCAAGGCTGGTACGTGGCTCCTGTGCCCACAAGAAACACCCGGGCTGCTCCGGGCTCCCAGGGGACAGCACGGCCTCCAGCGTTTCCGCGTTATCCCCATTATCTTGCTGCAGATCGGGAAGCCAACGGCCCCATTTCCGCCAGCTCATCACGCACCTTTCTGCTGGCTCAGCTCTTTCTGTACTGGCTGGGTCGCTCCAGCTGGAGGGGAACGATGCTCGACAAGAACAGCCACTCGCCCCATCAGGGTTTGGGGGGCCTTTGGGCACCCCATGTCCCCGAGGGGAACAGTGCCCTTGGCACATCAACCAGCACGGGGCACAGCTGCTCCATGGATAAAAATGGATATAAACCTGCCCCTACCTCCAGCCTCTGCCCCTCTACCCTGGGTTATAGGGAGGGATGACGCCTGGCCATGCTGTGTGCTGCACAGCAGTGGCAGTCTGGCAGAGGCACTTTCCCCTTCCCCTCCCATACGCCGGGCATGAAACCTGCCTCTTAAAGCAAATATTTCTTCGGTGAGTCAGAAGCTGCCTTGAAAGGCTGAAACAATAGAGACACAAGCTGTCCCCTGAGCCAGCCCGGCCATCTACAGAGCCAATGCCCCCCTCCTCCTCCTCCCCGGACACTTCCCGCGCTTGTACAAGGAAGGGCGTGAGTGCCAAAACCGGCCGCAGCAGGTCCAATGGTCACGGGGCTGCAGAGGGTGACGCAGACCCACAAACAACACCGTGGAGACCGGCCAGGCCACGGAAAGGGTGATCCCTCACCGTCCCCACGGCACAGACCCCCCCGGCCAGCCCGGGAACGGGGCCACATCTCCAGACCCTGACTTGGAGCAATCAAATCCACATCCCTCCAACGGCTTCTGGCTCCGCATCTTCCACTGCTGCTTTCTCCGGCTGGGAGGGTTTGCAAGTTTATAAAGTGCTTTTCTATCCAGCTTAGGAGATAAGTCTTGCTTTTACCTCCCAGCCGCGAGCAGCTGTCAGGGCTTTACCCACTCTGGTCTTGAAAGTCTTCAGGGACTGAGACTGGGCAAACCTGTCCCACTGCCTCACTGTCCCCATGAGGGAATAAAAAAAAAAAAAAAAAAAAAAAAAAAAAAAAAAAAAAAAAAAAAAAAAAAAAAAAAAAAAAAAAGAGTCTTTCTTCCCCATTCAAACCCTGCCAGGCTGTGAAGGTGATCAGAGCAACAACACGGCATTATCTGCTGTTTGAAAAGGCCCCTTAGGCACAGGATTTCATTGCTTTTCATGAAACAGCAACTCAGCAGAGCTTGCACGAGTGCACGATAAGGTTATCAGCCCGCACCACCTTCCCCAGCAAGTGCACTTCAAGTACATCAGCCCACCTCCAAGCCCTTGGCAGGCGAGGGCTGCCATCCCTGACTAACCTATCAGTCTTGCAAAGCACAGAGAGAAACCAGGCTGGGAGCCGTGGGTGAGACGCAATGGTATTCAAGAGTAGTTTTCACCCACAGTAAACATTCCAAGAAAGTAACGCTGCCTCAAGGCAGAGGAATTACCAGGCACAGGAATCCCCAATACCCTCATCAGCTAAAAGCCTCTTCTTTCTGGATGATCAGGTCTGGAATAAAAGCTCTGCGAAGCATTAAGTTTTGAACTTTCCCTTCTTCCATCCCCAATTTGTTTTTCTTCTGAAGTGACGCCAAGGAAGGAGTTGGACCCTACAGCAGAAGGCAGACCCCTCGCTGTACTCCTGACCATCGGTGAACATCCGTGCAGCATTAATACGCAGCCCTTGGTTGTAGCAAGAGAGGCTCTTAGCCGACAGTGTTAAGGACCGGGGATAAAAGAGATGCCAGGCAGACACCCGACGTGCCTCTGCTCCAAGGGCACAGGTCTGACGAACGTGGGGTTTTCCCCCCCAAGACTTTCCGCGGATGGAATTTGAGCTCCTGCAAACACAGAGATCCAGCGACATTCCTCCTCGGGAGCCCGTGGCCCAGGTCCAGGCATGATGCAACAAGCATTGGTGAGCAGAGGAAGGAACTGCAGCCACAATATCGTATGATTATCACGTGGGGCACGATCAGTCCTGATCGGTTCCCCCTCCCCTTTTCTTTTATAAAAATGGGAAAAAAATAAAAGTAAAAGAAAGAGGCTGTTAAGAGCGTGCCCTTAGGTGACGGGTTTAGTAAGGCTTGACTTTATCAGGCAAGTCTAAATAAACTCTCATAAACAATATAGGGAAGGAACTGGATGAGAAGCTGACTCTTCTAAAACCTGTTATGGGCAGTGCTGATTTCAGCGACAGCAATTCCAGCGCGGGAGCAGCAACCACGTGTCCCAGGGCCGCGGCTCCACTGGGCTCCCTCGTGGCAGCAGGGATCGCAGGCCAGCCCCGGGGATAAAACTCAGGGCAGGACGCCACTGACTTCAGGTGAGACGAGACTTTAGGTATTTCCGAGCTCTACAGCAACACCCAATCCATGGGGAAATATCATACGCGCAGGTGGGGTTTTCTGTCCTAAAAGCCAGCGGTGCTAAGGGTTTGGACATCCTTTGGGCAAGTTGGAGAGGCAGCATTCCTGCACCAGGCAGCCCAGAGCTGCCCGCATCCGACCCTGATGCTTTCAAACATCCTGCGCAGTCTTGGCATTGCCACGAGATCCCGACACCGAATGGCAAACAAGGCTTGGAAGCGAAGGGGAGCGGAAATCCCCTCCAGCACAGGCAGTGCCATAGGGCAAGCCTCCAGCCCCACGTCACCTCCGAGCCCCACGGCCCTCGCACCACACACACAGCCACCCAGCCAAGCGCTTGCGCGCTTGCCCGCTGCCCCACACCCAGGAGGGCTGAGATCACCCTTCCCGTCCCACCTCCATGCTGCCGCTTCCATCCTGCCCCACAGCCTCTGCCCCACACATCCCCTGTGCCCTGCAAACCTGCCCAGGCGAGCCCCCATAGCCCTCCTCCCCTCCCATGGGCCCTGCCCAGGTGAACCCCCCAGCCCCCACCTGCCCAGATGAGCCCCCCTATAGCATCAGCTCTCCCCGTAGCCCCTGTGCCATGTGAGACACCCTATAGCCTCAGCTCCCCCACATCCCCTGAACGAGGTGAGCCCCCATAGCCCCTGCTCTCCCCATAGCCCCCAAATCAGGTGAGCCCCCCATAACCCCTGCTTCCCCCATGGCTCCTGGACCAGGTGAGCCCCACTATAGCCCCAGCTTCTCCCTCATAGCCCCTGATCCATATGAGCCCCTACCCCCCGATCCCCCCCCTAAT